TTTTATTCCACAGAGTATTGGAAGTTCTAGCCACATTGATCAGACAAGAAAAAGCAAGCAAATTGGAAAGGAGGAAGTAAAACTGTCATTATTTGCAGATGACATGATAGTGTATGCACCTATAAAATACTATAGATTCCACACTCACACACACACAAAACTATTCAACCTAATAAGTAATCTTGCAAAATAGAGGGATACAAAGTCAATATTCAGAAATTGAAGGCATTTTTGTACACCAGCAATGCAATATCAGAAACAGAAACTAGGGGAGAAATCCCATTTACTATAGCATCAAGAGAAATAAAGTACCTAGGAATAAATTTAACCAAGGAGATAAAGGACCTATACTCAGAAAACTACAGAACACTGAAGAAAGAAATTAAGGAAGATACAAATAAATAGAAGCATATACCATGTTCATGGATAGGAAGAATTAGCATCATTAAGATGTCCATAACTACCCAAAGGAATCTATATATGCAAGCCATTCCCTATTAAGAATCCAATGCCATACATCATAAATTTTAGAACACATGTTTCAAAAATTTACATGGAACCAAAAGTGATCCCAAATAGACTCAGTAATCTTAAGAGAGAAAAACAAAATAGGAGGGATCACAATACCTGATATCAAACTATAGTACAAGGCCACTGTAATCAAGACAGTTTGGTACTGGCATAAGAACAGACAAAATGATCAATGGATCAGAATAGAGAGTCCAGAAATAAAGTCACATCTCTGTGGTCAACTAATTTTTGACACATGGGGCAGGAGCATGAAATGGAGTAAAGATATCTTTTTCAAAAAGTTGTGTTGGGAGAACTGGAATGGTACATGCAAAAAATAAAATGAAACTAGACAACCAACTTACACCACACACCATAAACTCAAAATGGATAAAAGTCTTAAACATAAGCTGTGCTACCATAAAATCCTAGGAAAACATAGGCAGTAAAATTTCAGATATCCCATGCAGCAATATTTTCACTGATATATCCTTTAGGGCAAAGGAAATAAAGGAAAGACTAAACAAATGGAACTAAATCAAATTAAAAATCTTCATGGCTACAGAAAATATCAGCAAAATGAAAAAGGGGCCAACCCTATGGGAAAATGTATTTACCAATGATACCTCAAAAACACTGGTAATCAGGATGCTCACAGAAATGATTGAGTATGGCCAAAAAATAAAGCAAGAAGTGAAAGCTATACAAAGTAAAATAAGGAAAAATATACAGGGAACCAAAAGTGAAGAGAAGGAAACCAGGACTCAAATCAATGATTTGGAACAAAAAGAAGAAATAAAGATTCAACCAGAACAGAATGAAGAAACAACAATTCAAAAAAATGAGGAGGGCCTTAGGAACCTCTGGGACAACTTTAAATGCTCCAACATCTGAATCATAGGGGTGCCAGAAGGAGAAGAGAAAAAGCAAGGAATTTAAACTTATTTCAGAAAATAATAAAAGAAAACTTCCTTAATCTGGTGAAGGAAATAGACATACAATTCCAGGAAAGAATGTTAAAAGCAGCAAGAGAAAAGCAGAGTTACCTACAAAGGAGTTCCCATAAGACTGTCAGCTGATTTCTCAAAAGAAAGTTTGCAGGCAAGAAAGGACTGGCAAGAGCTATTCAAAGTGGTGAAAAGCAAGGGCCTACAACCTAGATTACTCTATCCAGCAAAGCTATCATTTAGAATGGAAGGGCAGAAAAAGTGCTTCCTAGATAAGGTCAAGTTAAAGGAGTTCATCATCACCAAGCCCTTATTATATGAAATATTAAAGGGACTTTTCTAAGAAAAAGAAGACCAAAACTACGAGCAGTAAAATGACAACAAACAAACTCACAACTACCAACAACTGAGCCCCAAAAAACAAAAACAAAAGTAAGCAAACAACTAGAACAGAAACAGAATCACAGAAATGGAGATCACAGGGAGATATATCAGTAGGGAAAGGGCAGGAAGAGTATGCGGGAAAAGGTATAGGGAATAGGAAATATAATTGGTAGGTACAAAATAGACAGTGGGATGTTAAGAATAGTATAGGAAACAGAAGACAAAGTGAAGGGAACTTTGTGTATGACCCATGGACATAAACTAAGGGAGGGGAATTCTGGGGGGAAGGGGGAAACAGGGGGTTAGAGGGGGATAGAAAAAAGGGACAAATGTAATAGCATAATCAATAAAATATACTTTAAAGAAAGAACCTAAGCTTCCCTGTGTTTATAGCAGCATTATTTACAATAACCAAGTACTGAAAGCAGTCTAAGTGTCCATCAGTAAATGAGTGGATCAATAAACTGTGGTACATTAACAGCAATACTAAGGAATACTAAGCAGCAGAAAGAAAGAAGGAGCTCCTACCTTTGCTGACAGAATGGATGGAATTGAAGACTATTATGCTAAGTGAAATAAGCAAGATGATAAAAGGAAAATACCATATGATCTTACTTATAAGAGGAACCTAATGAACAAAACAAATGAGCAAAATAGAACCAGAGGCATGACATCAAGTAGCAGACTGATAGTGGGATAACGCGGGTGGTGGGTGGGATAAAGGGGGAAAGAAGGGGAAGGGTCTAATCTAGGAACAGGTATAAATGACCCATGGACATGGACAACAGAGTGGGGATTGACTATGGGAGCGAGAGGCATGGGGTGGGGTGGGCGTGGCAGTGGAGAGCAATGGAGGGAAATTGGGACAAATGTAATAGACAACAATAAAAATTATTTTCTACTTTATTATAAAAAATTGTGTATCCCCCTTTCCTTTCATGTCTTCTACTCTACTTTTTCATTTCAATTCATAGTGGTAGAAATGATAGTCAAGGTGGGAAATGGAATTCTTTTCTCTCAGATATCACTGTGTTTTATCATTCACCCTACTTATAATTGTATGTGGTGACACAAAGTTCCTTGCCTGTGTATACCTCTGAGATCCTGAAATATTTCTGCTTGCTTTCAATAAGTTTCTCTCCTGTGTCTTCTGAATCTTGGGGTATGTGTGGCTTTCATGTCTTTTTTCATTAGGGTCAAAGAATCTCTGGAGACACTCTTCTCTAAAAAGGTCTCTTAAACAAAGGATGCAGGAATAAATTAATTGGTAGAGGCAGCATGCCATCAACATTATAATGAAATGACCTTAAAAAAAAAAAAAAACTTTTTCTAAGTCCTGCTGTACTAAAAAAAAAAAAAAAAAAAAAAAAAAAAATCAGTTTCCTCCGTGACCTGAAAGTAGAGCATTCCTATGAAACCATTTAAAAGCCAAAAATGGCATAAAACAAAGAAGCTATTACCACTAATTTATATGGAAGACATTTTGAGCATTCCTGGACCCCTGAAATAACCTACCAAATCATAACAAATACACTTATGCTGAGTGTAACACTCTTATGAGCTCTGATACATTAGGGCACAACTTACTAACAGAAGCACATAATGAATCAAGATAAAGCACAGATGCTCACAAGCACAGTTCAAAACTATGGCGGCCTGATAATAAGATGCTGAGGTAGTTCCTGAAAAGGGGTTTGGCAAGGCTATTCAGTGCACAGGGTACACACTGCTTCTTTAAGAGCTGGCTGAAAAACAAATGATGAGTGTTATTTTTGCTTTTAACGTTTTTTTTTTTTTTTGGTAAAAATGAAATCCTCTTTGAATTTTTTTCAGTTAGCAGAGAATGTACTAATGTAGGTCTTTTGTAAAAGCTAAGTGGCATAATGTGAACTTTCAAAAACTGGGGTGATACCTGCATTCATTTCTAAAATCTGATGTTCAGATTTAGCTGTGTGTCCTGTATTTTAATTCACTAAATTTGATGGCCCTCTCTAGGGCACACTCCCCAAACCCATTAATGAAAACACACAATAAAACTTAGCAGTTGTTTTCAAACTGGTTTCCACAAAACACAGGTGTTCCTAAAGATCACAACACCTGACATCAAACTATATTATAAGACCACTGTAGTCAAAACAGCCTGGTACTGGCATAAGAACAGACACATAGATCAATGGAACAGAACAGAGAGCCCAGAAATAAACCCATGTCTCTGTAGTCATTTAATACTTAAAAAAAGGGGACAGAAGCATAAAATGGAGTAAAAATAGCTTCTTCAACAAATGTTGTTCGGAGATCTGGACAGACACGTGCAAAAAAATGAAACTCAACCACCAACTTACACCATACACAAGAATAAACTCAAGATGAATAAAAAAATTAAATATAAGTCACAACAGCATAAAAGTCCTAGAGGAGAAAAAAGGCAGTAAAATCTTAGATATTCCATGCAACAATACTTTCACTGATATGTCCCCTAAAGAAAGGGGCATAAAGGAAAGAATAAACAAATGGTACTTCATCAAAATAAAAAACTTCTGCATGGCTAAAGAATACATCAGCAAAATGAAAAGGGAACAAACCATATGGGAAAACATATTTTCCAATAATACCTTGGACAAGGGTCTGATCTCCCAAATACATAAAGAAGTGACATGACTCCATTCCAGGAAGACAAACAATGCAATTTAAAAATGGGCAAAGGACCTGAACAGACACTTTTCCAAGGAGGACATACAGAGGGCTGAGAGACATATGAAAGGATGATCAGCGTCACTAGCCATCAGAGAAATGCAAATTAAAACCACAATGAGATACCCCTTCACACTGATCAAAATGGCCATCATAAACAAATCTACAAACAATAAATGCTGGCACGGTTGTGGAGAAAAGGGAACTGTAGGACATTGTTGGTGGAAATGCAGACTGGTGCAGCCACTGTGTAAAGCAGTATGGAATTTCCTCAAAAAACTAAAAATAAAACTACCTTTGCACTCAGTAATCCCATTCTGGGATTATACCCTAAGAATCCTGAAACACTAATTCAAAAGACCTAGGCAACCCAGAGTTTATAGTAGCACAATTTACAGTAGCCAAGTGGTGGAAGGAACCTAAGTGCCCATCAGTAAATGAATGGATCAAAAAACTATGGTATATTTAGTGCTCGCTTTGGCAGCACATATATTAAAACTGGAAAGATACAGGGAAAATTAGCATGGTCCCTGCATAGAGATGACATGCAAATTCATGAAGTGTTCCATATTTTTCTGGAGACCATTATGTTAAGTGAAATAAATCAGGGGGCAAAAGACAAGTACCATATGATCTCACCTATAAGTGGAAACTAATCAACAAAACAAACAAGCAAAGAAAATATAACCTGCAACATTGAAAGAAAAATGAAACCAACAGAATCAAGAGGGAAAGAGGGAGGGGGGAGGGGATAGTGAAGGGAAAGGTCAAGTCAAGGAACATGTATAAAGGACCCATGGACAAAGCCAAAGAGGGATATGATTGAGGGTGGGAGATTGGGGTGGGTGGGGTGGAGGAAAGTGGTGTCAGGAAAATGGAGACAACTGGAGTTGAATAACAATGAAAAGGGAAAAAAGGAAAATTATAATCCACAGTTCATGAAGCAGGAAAAAACAAAAGAAAGAAACTCAGGTGTTCCTACAGGGTGTGTGTGGGGAAGGCCAAATGAGCAGGGCTCCTGCATCTACCTCTGTCCCAACCAAAGCAGTCTTCATTTGCTTTATTGATTCCTGCTTATGATTTTAAGAGTTTGGTTAAAAGATTAAAAAAAAAAACCTTAAACTTAACACTGTAGGTCAACAGTTCGATTCCCACTCAGGGCACACGCCTGGGTTGTGGAGCCAGGTCCCCAATAGGGGGTGGTCAAGAGGCAACCACATACTGATATTTCTCTCCCACCCTTCCCGTCTGTCTAAAAATGAATAATCTTTTTTTTAATTTATTTACTCATTAAATACATTTGTCTCTGCCTCCCCCCCACCTCTTTCCCTTGTCCCCTCACTCCTTCCCTCCCTCAGCTCTTCCCCTTTGATTTTGTCCATGAGTCCTTGCTATATGTTCCTTGACTTTCCCCTTCCCTTCCCTTTCCCTGCCCCCCTCACCTTCCCTCTTGTCTCTTTTGATTTCTTTTCCTTTCAGTGTTGCTGGTCATATTTTCCTTGCATCTTTGCATTGTTGGTTAGGTTCCGCTTATAAGTGAGATCATATGGTATTTGTCTTTTGCCCCCTGGCTTATTTCACTTAGCATGATGCTCTCCAGTTCCATCCATGCTGTCGCGAAGTTTAGTACTTCTTTTTTTATTTCTGCTGCGTAGTATTCCATTGTGTATATGTACCATTACTTCTTGATCCAATCATCTACTGATGGGCATTTAGGTTGCTTCCAACACTTGGCTATTGTAAATTGTGCTGCTATGAACATGGGGGTGCATAGGTTCTTTTGTATTGGCGTTTTGGTGTTCTCAGGGTATAGTCCCAGCAGGGGAATCGCTGGATCAAAAGGCAGTTCCATTTTCAGCTTTCTGAGGATATTCAACACTGCTTTCCATAGTGCCTGCACCAGTCTGCATTCCCACCAACAGTGGACTGGGGTTCCCTTTTCTCCACAGCCACGCCATCACCTGTTGTTTGCGGATCTATTTATGATGACCATTCTGACCGGTGTGAGGTGGTACCTCATGGTGGTTTTGATCTGCATTTCTCTGATGGCTAGTGATGCTGAGCGTCCTTTCAAATGCCTCTGGGCCCTCTGTATCTCCTCCTTAGAAAAGCATCTGCCCAGGTCCTTTGCCCATTTTTTGATTGGATCGTTTGTCTTCTTGGAGTGGAGTCAAGTGAGTTCTTTATATATCTTGGAGATCAAACCTCTATCTGATGTATCATTACCAAATATAGTTTCTCATACGGTTGGCTCCCTTTTCATTTTGCTGATGTTTTCTTTTGCCGTGCAGAAGCTTCTTATTTTGATGAGGTCCCACTTGTTTATTCTTTCCTTTGTGTCCCTTGCTTTAGGAGACATATCAGTGAAAAAATTGCTGTGTGGGATATCTGAGAGTTTCCTGCCAATGTTCTCTTCTAGGACTTTGATGGTGTTGTGACTTCTATTTAAGTCTTTTATCCATCTTGAGTTTATTTTTGTGTATGGTGTCAGCTGATGATCCAATTTCCATTTTTTGCGTGTAGCCGTCCAGCTCTCCCAACACCATTTGTTGAAGAGGCCGTTATTGCTCCATTTTATGCTTCTGCCCCCTTTGTCAAATATTAGATGTCCATAGAGACCTGGGCTCATTTCTGGGCTTTCTATTCTGTTCCACTGGTCTATGGGTCTGTTCTTGTGCCAGTACCAGATTGTTTTGACTATGGTGGCTTTGTAGTAGAGTTTGATGTCCGGTATTGTGATCCCTCCTACTTTGTGTTTCTTTCTCAAAATTGCTGCGGCTATTCAGGGTCATTTATGGTTCCATATAAATTTTTGAAATGTCTGTTCTATTTCTGTGAAATACGTCATTGGTATATTAATAGGGATTGCGTTGAATCCATAAATTGCTTTGGGTAGTATGGACATTTTGAGGATATTAATTCTTCCAATCCATGAGCACGGTATATGCTTCGATTTATTTGTGTCTTCCTTAATTCCTTTTTTCAATGTTGTATAGTTTTCTGCATACAGGTCTTTTGTGTCTTTGGTTAAATTTATTCCTAGGTACTTTATTTTTCTTGTTGCTATATTGAATGGTATTTTTTTCTGATTTCTTCTTCTTCTATTGCATTGCTGGTGTACAAAAATGCCGTTGATTTCTGAATGTTGACTTTGTATCCTGCTGTTTTGCCAAATTCACTTATTAGGTTGAGGAGTTTTTTGGTAGAGTCTACAGGGTTCTCCATGTACACTATCATGTCATCTGCAAACAATGATAGCTTTACTTCCTCCTTTCCTATTTGGATGCCTTTTATCTCTTTCTCTTGTCTGACCGCTGTGGCTAGGATTTCCAATACGATGTTGAAAAGAAGCGGTGACAGCGGACATCCTTGTCGTGTTCCCGATCTTAGTGGGTAAGCTTTCAGTTTTTGCCTTTGAGTATGATATTAGCTATAGGTTTTTCATATATGGCCTTTATTACGTTGAGGCCATATTTATTCCCCATTTATTCCCATTTTGCTGAGTGTTTTGATCATAAATGGGTGCTGTACCTTGTCAAATGCTTTTTCTGCATCTATCAAGATGATCATGTGGTGTTTGTCTTTTCTTTTGTTTATGTCATGTATCACGTTTACTGATTTGCGTATATTGAATCATCCCTGCATCCGTGGGATGAATCCCACTTGATCGTGGTGGATAATCTTTTGAATGTATTGCTGGATGCGGTTTGCCAATATTTTGTTGAGGATTTTAGCATCTATGTTCATCAGCGAAATTGGCCTGTAGTTTTCTTTCTTTGTAGGGTCTTTATCTGGTTTTGGGATCAGGGTGATGCTGACCTCATAGAAGGAGTCTGGGAGTCTTCCCTTCTCTTGGATTTTTTGGAATAGTCTGAGAAGGACAGGGGTTAGCTCTTCCTTAAATGTTTTGTAAAATTCTCCTGGGTAACCGTCTGGCCCTGGGCTTTTGTGTGCTGGGAGTTTCTTGATGACTGCTTCACTTTCCCCAGCTGTTATCGGTCTGTTCAAGCTTTCTGTTTCTTCCTCCTTCAGTGTTGGAAGATTATACTTTTCTGAAAATTTGTCCATTTCATCAAGATTTTCAAATTTCTTGGCATATAATTGTTCACAATAGTTTCTGATGATCATTTGTATTTCTGTGGTATCAGTTGTTATTTCCCCTCTTTCATTTCTGATATTATTTTGTGTCCTCTCTCTTTTTTTCTTGATGAGTCTGCTTAAAGGCTTGTTAATTTTATTTATCTTTTCAAAGAACCAGCTTCTGGATTGGTTGATCCTCTGAATTGTTCTTTTTGTGTTTATGTCATTCAGTTCTGCTCTAATTCTGACTATTTCCTTCCTTCTCCTTGCTCTGGGATCTATTTGTTGTTGTTTCTCCAGTTCTTGAAGTTGTAGTGTTAGGTCTTTTATGTGAAATGTTTCTATCTTTTTTAGGTAAGCCTGTATTGCTATTAACTTCCCTCTCAGGACCACCTTTGCTGTGTCCCATAGGTTTTGGACTGTTGTCTGTTCATTTTCATTTGTTTCCAGAATTTTTTTTTATTTCTTCTCTTATCTCATTATTGACCCATTCATTGTTTAATAGTGTACTGTTCAGTCTCCATGAGTTTGCAAGTTTTTGAAGTTTCTCTTTGAGGTTGATTTCGAGTTTCAAGGCATTCTGGTCTGAGAAAAAGTTTGGTATTATTCAATTTTCCTGAATTTGCTGACGCTTGCTTTGTGTCCTATCATGTGGTCTATATTTGAAAAACTGCCACGAGCATTTGAAAAGAATCTGTAGTTTTCTTCTTTGGGATGTAAGGTTCTATATATGTCAGTTAAGTCTCTTTGATTCAGTGTGTCATTCAGTGCCACGATATGTTTATTAATGTTTTGTTTGGAAGATCTGTCCATTTTTGACAGTGGGGTGTTGAAATCCCCTACTATCAGTGTGTTGCTGTCTATATCATTTTTGAAGTCATCCAACAATTTCCTTATAAACTTGGGGGCTCCTATATTGGGAGCATATATGTTTACAATGTTGATGTCTTCTTGATAGATTCTTCCTTTAAGCATGATAAAGTGCCCCTATGGGTCTCTCTTTATGGCCTTTGCTTTGAAATCTACTTTGTCTGATACAAGTATGGAAACGCCAGCCTTTTTCTCATGTCCATTTGCTTGGAATATTATTTTCCATCCCTTTACTTTCAATCTGTGTAGGTCTTTTGCTCTGAGGTGGGTCTCTTGTAGGCAGCATATGTGTGGGTCATGTTTTCTTATCCATTCAGCTACCCTGTGTCTTTTGATTGGGGCATTTAGTCCATTCACATTGAGAGATATTACTGATGGAAACTTACTCATCTTATCTCTTTGTACCTGTGTTCTTCTCTCTCTCATTCTTTTCCTTCATCTGCTTAAACCAGTCCCCTTAGCATATCTTGGAGTGCTGGTTTGGTACAGTTGTATTCTTTTAGCCTTCTCTTGTCTGGGAAACTCCATATTTCCCCTTCCATTTTAATGAAGAACCTAGGTGGGTAGAGCAGCCTTGTCTGTCGGCCCTTGCTTTTCATGGCTTGGAATATTTGTTGCCATTCCC